TTTTTATCATAAATGGGTGTTGAATTTTGTCAAAAGCTTTTCTGCATCTATTGAGATGATCATATGGTTTTTCTTCTTCAGTTTGTTAATGTGTATCGCATTGATTGATTTGCATATATTGAAGAATCCTTGCATCCCTGAGATAAATCCCACTTGATCGCGGGGTATGATCCTTTTAATGTGTTGTTGGATTCTGTTTGCTAGTATTTTGTTGAGGATTTTTGCATCTATATTCATGAGTGATACTGGTCTGTAATTTTCTCTTTTTGTAGTATCTTTGTCTGGTTTTGGTATCAGGGTGATGGTTGCCTCAGAGAATGAGTTTGGAAGTGTTCCTTTCTCTGCAATTTTTTGGAAGAGTTTGAGAAAGATGGGTGTTAGCTCTTCTCTAAATGTTTGATAGAATTCACCTGTGAAGCCCTCTGGTCCTGGACTTTTGTTTGTTGGAAGATTTTTAATCACAGGTTCAATTTCGTTACTTGTGATTGGTCTGTTCATATTTTCTATTTCTTCCTGGTTCAGTCTTGGAAGGTTATACCTTTCTAAGAATTTGTCCATTTCTTCCAGGTTGTCCATTTTATTGGCGTGGAGTTGCTTGTAGTAGTCTCTTAGGATGCTTTGTATTTCTGTGGTGTCTGTTGTAACTTCTCCTTTTTCATATCTAATTTTATTGATTTGAGTCCTCTCCCTGTTTTTCTTGATGAGTCTGGCTAATGGTTTATCAATTTTGTTTATCTTCTCAAAGGACCAGCTTTTAGTTTTATTGATCTTTGCTATTGTTTTCTTTGTTTCTTTTTCATTTATACCTGCTCTGATCTTTATGATTTCTTTCCTTCTGCTAACTTTGGGTTTTGTTTGTTCTTCTTTCTCTAGTTCCTTTAGGTGTAAGGTTAGATTGTTTATTTGAGATGTTTGCTGTTTCTTGAGGTAAGGTTGTATAGCTATAAACTTCCCTCTTCGAACTGCTTATGCTGCATCCCATAGGTTTTGAATTGTCGTGTTTTCATTGTCCTTTGTCTCTAGGTATTTTTCGATTTCCTCTTTGATTTCTTCCGTGATCTCTTGGTTATTTAGTAACGTATTGTTTAGCCTCCATGTGTTTGTGTTTTTTACGTTTTCTTCCCTGTAGTTCATTTCTTTTTTTTTTTTTTTCACAGCTGTTCTAAGGTTTTTTTTTTTTTTAATTTATTAATTAATTTATTTTTGGCTATGTTGGGTCTTCGTTTCTGTGCGAGGGCTTTCTCTAGTTGCGGCAAGCGGGGGCCACTCTTCATCGTGGTGTGTGGGCCTCTCACTATCGCGGCCTCTCTTGTTGTGGAGCACACGCTCCAGATGTGCAGTCTCAGTAGTTGTGGCTCATGGGCCCAGTTGCTCCACGGCATGTGGGATCTTCCCAGACCAGGGCTCGAACCCGTGTCCCCTGCATTGGCAGGCAGACTCAACCACTGCGCCACCAGGGAAGCCCCCTGTAATTCATTTCTAATCTCAGAGCGTTGTGGTCAGAAAAGATTCTTGATATTATTTCAATTTTCTTAAATTTACTGAGGCTTGATCTGTGACCCAAGATGTGATCTATCCTGGATAATGTTCCGTGCACACTTGAGAAGAAAGTGTAATCTGCTGTTTTTGTATGGAATGTCCTATAAATATCAATTAAATCTGTTTGGTCTATTGTGTCATTTAAAGCTTCTGTTTCCTTATGTATTTTCATTTTGGATGATCTGTCCATTGGTGTGAAGTGTTAAAGTCCCCCACTATAATTGTGGTACTGTCAATTTCGTGTTTTATAGCTGTTAGCAGTTGCCTTATGTATTGAGGTGCTCCTATGTTGGGTGCATATATATTTATAATTGTTATATCTTCTTCTTGGATTGATCCCTTGATCATTATGTAGTGTCCTTCCTAGTCTCTTGTAACATTCTTTATTTTAAAGTTTATTTTATCTGATATGAGTATTGCTACTCCAGCTTTCTTTTGATTTCCATTTGCATAGAATATCTTTTTCATCCCCTCACTTTCAATGTGTATGTGTCCCTAGGTCTGAAGTGGGTCTCTTGTAGACAGCTTATATGTGGGTCTTGTTTTTGTATCCATTCAGCAAGCCTGTGTCTTTTGGTTGGAGCATTTAATCCATTCACGTTTAAGGTAATTATTGATATGTATGTTCCTATGGCCATTTTCTTAATTCTTTTGCGTTTGTTTTTGTAGGTCCTTTTCTTCTCTTGTGTTTCCCACTTAGAGAAGTTTCTTTAGCGTTTGTTGTAGAGCTGGTTTGGTGGTGCTGAATTCTCTTAGCTTTTGGTTGTCTGTAAAGTTTTTGATTTCTCCATCGAATCTGAATGAGATCCTTGCCAGATAGAGTAATCTTGGTTGTAGCTTCTTCCCTTTCATCACTTTAAATATGTCATGCCACTCCTTTCTGGCTTGTAGAGTTTCTGCTGAGAAATCAGCTGTTAACCTTATGGGAGTTTTCTTGTATGTTATTTGTCTTTTTTCCCTTGCTGCTTTCAATAATTTTTCTTTGTCTTTAATTTTTGCCAATTTGATTACTGTGTGTCTCAGCGTGTTTCTCCTTAGGTTTGTCCTGTTTGGGACTCGCTGTGCTTCCTGGACTTGGGTGGCTATTTCCTTTCCCATGTTAGGGAAGTTTTCGACTGTAATCTCTTTAAATATTTCCTCTGGTCCTTTCTCTCTCTCTTCTCCTTCTGGGACCCCTGTAATGCAAATGTTGTTGTGTTTAATGTTGTCCCAGAGGTCTCTTAGGCTGTCTTCATTTCTTTTCATTCTTTTTTCTTTATTCTGTTTCATGGCAGTGAATTCCACCATTCTGTGTTCCAGGTCACTTATCCGTTCTTCTGCCTCAGTTGTTCTGCTATTGATTCCTTCTAGTCTAGTTTTCATTTCAGTTATTGTATTGTTCATCTCTGTTTGTTCTTTAATTCTTCTAGGTCTTTGACAAACATTTCTTGCCTCTTCCGATCTTTGCCTCCATTCTTTTTCCGAGGTCCTGGATCATCTTCACTATCATTCTGAATTATTTTTCTGGAAGGTTGCCTATCTCCACTTCATTTAGTTGTTTTTCTGGGGTTTTGTCTTGTTCCTTCATCTGGTACATAGCCCTCTGCCTTTTCATCTTGCCTATCTTTCTGTGAATGTGATTTTTGTTCCACAAGCCTCAGATCTTTTTAATAGAAAAATTTCTCTGTTTTCCTCTAGTCCAAAAGATTATAAATTATTTTCTAGTTTGTCTGTTTATGTTTTTATTTTTAAAATTTTGGGGGCTGTGCCGTGTGGCATGCGGGATCTTAGTTCCCTGACCCGGGATCAAACCCGTGCCCCCTGCATTGGGAGCTCGGAGTCTTAACCACTGGACTGCCTAGGAAGTCCCTATCTGTTTATATTTTTAAAAGAACAAAGTTTTCCCATTAAGATCTATAATAAGAGAAAAAAATTCAAACCAATTGAAACAGGTTTTTATGCTGTGGTTTTATTTTTAAGTTTTATATTGTTTAAAAACTTAGCTTTAATTTGTAGCAACCTATATTTCTCTTTTTAGGGGACTGATTACATTTTGGAACATTCAGACAGAATATTATGCCCAGCTAAGATAATGCATGTATTTAATTTACTGATTTTTAGAGATGTGTATGATGTATGATTATTCTTTAACTCTGTATTGAAATATATGCCATATTGAGTGAGGAAAAAAGACCTCAGAGCTTCATTTGAGATAATATACTTAATGTTTGTTAAAAAGAAATACATTTCTGTATGTATCTATGCATAGAAAAGTCTGGAAGGATGTATGTCAAATATTAAGTGCTAATACCTAGTGATGGGATTATGAGTAATTTTAATTTTATTCTTAATACTTTCAGGATTATTTCTAGTTTTTACAAAGAGCATGTCTTAATTTTTGATTAAAAGTATCTTCATTTTGTGGGGAGGGAAGAGAAAAGGGGAAATTAGCTTTAGTTACAAGAATGAAGAACCTTCTCTAATTAAAGGCTTTCCAAAGAAAACCAGGACGGAATCTGGAGCTCTGAATACCAATTTCAAACTACTGTATTTTTGTATATTGATTAATCTTTCAGTTTTTATTTCATTTTTTTTTTCTAGGCCAGCCTTTATGGATGAATATGAGAAGACTGAGGATGAATTGCAAAAGCAGTATGACATTTATCTAGAGAAATTTCGAAATCTGGCTTATCTGGAACAGCAACTCGAGGATCATCACAGGATGGAGCAAGAGAGGTTTGAGGTGAGTGCTTAGTCCTTCTGTATGACTGTTTGTTCTGGTGTGTTACTTTGTACTTGTTGACATGCCAGTTTGTAAATATCACTGTGAAAAAAATATCAGGTGAATGTTTTTTCTTCCTGACCAGACTAAGGATTGCTCATGTGATTCTTCTGTTTTTCTGGTTGTGTAGCCTGGGCTCCGAGGTTGTCAAATCTTTGGTAGTAGGTTATCACCAGAGTTTGGTCAGTTAGGACTACAGACAGGGCGGGGACATGACCTGTGCAGTTGGCTACAGCTGCAAGCTTAGAAGGACCTGGGCTTGCTTTAATCCTCTGCTGTCACCGTTTTGAAATTCTTAGTAATTTTTAACTGCATTTTATTTTGCACTGAGTCCCACAAATTATGTAACATGTCTTGTGTACAGATCTTGCTTGGTCAGTTCACTTAAAGATTTTCAAGCTCTGGTTTATTGAATCACCCAGAGTAGCTTTTCAGAAACTACTTTATAAAGAAGAATTGTAGCTTATTGATTATTGTGGGAAATATGTATGACCTATAAACTGACCAGCTGTCTTTCAGGTTCCTTTCATCCCAATGTGTAAGGCCATTTAGGAAAGAGTATTTCAGATCCCAGCATCAGTTGATAAGTATGGAATCAGAGCAAAGGAAGTTGGACAAAGTTGCTGTCATTTTGAATTGCCCTTATCCCCTAGGGATGTTTCTGCTTAACCCTAAAATAGGCATTTGGAATCTATTTTCACAGTGAAACTGGTCTCCAGTCTCCCTTTCTCATGCTGTCCTTGACAGCTTTTGGTATAAAGGTTATCCTAGCCTTATTACAAACCTGGACATTTGAAGTAGGTGATGCTACTTTGTTGCCAAGAGGGCTGGCTGTAACTGACACCTTCAGGTGGACATGTTTATCTGGACGAGGAACCTGTTGCCACTCTTGCTGTAAGGCAGAGGCAGGTCATGGAGGAATGGAGGGTCCAGGACAGGCACGTTTTGAGGGCAATGAAAAGACCCTGGAGTTCTGGACATTCTAAACATTGGGTTTCTGGGAAAGAGCAGTAAAGAGACAGTGAAAATAAGCTGATCATTTTGTACTATTGTCTGGGCCACCCCTGGGCTCAGAGAACGTACCAAAGAACGTGCCTCAGGATGCGAGTGGGTGGCCCAGGTTACTTCTGAGGGGCGCCTTCCTGCCCACCCTCCCTTCAGCAAGTACCTACCCTCTTTTTCTTCTGTGCTCAACAGCTACTCCCCATGCTTCTAATACCTGGTCCCTCAAAATATCTCATGCATGAAACAGTGCTTCCTTTTTAACATTTAGAACAACAGCACATTTTTAAAAGCCAATTTCCTCTCCCATTCTCTCTTTTTCTAACTTTTTTTTTTCGGCCGCACCGCATGGCATGCGGGATCTTAGTTCCCCAATCAGGGATGGGACCCGCGCCCTCTGAAGTGGAAGTGCGGAGTCTTAACCACTGAACCACCACAAGGAAGTCCCTCCCATTCTCTTTTTTGACAATAATCAGGGCCACATTTTGTAACCTAACTCAAGTATTAGCTTTTTTTTATACCCTAGGAATTAAAACTAGTATTTCTTTCTTTCTTTTCCTATCTGATCACTCCTACCATTTAGCCCCTTTCAGGGTTAGAATTGTGCAGGGCAGGAAAATGATAAAATTCGTGCTTTATTTTAAGAGCAAGAGGCCCCGTAGTTGATGCATCTGTTCCTGTGTCCACATCCCACACAGGCACACGTGACGGGCATCTTGTTGTGTTGTCAGTTTTCTTCAGAGGCAGTGAGGTGTAGTGGGAGGAGCCTGGCTTTGGGGATCAGTGAGGCCCATTTTGGGCCAGTGGTGTCACTTCTGGGAGCCCCCCTTTTCATCGGGCTGCCAGAGTGATGACGGAGAGGGGGTGTTGAGTTTCTCACGCAGCGTTAGTTCTCTTCCCCTTCCTGTAGTTTAGTCTTTTTTGCTTCTATATCACAAATTTAACAGTACTTACATGGTAAAGAATAATAAAACAGTCCAGAAAGTGTCATTTCTTCTGGATCTTGTTTTTCCTGCTCCATAGGAAGCTGAAAACACTCTCCGTCTGATGCAGAACAAGCTAAAGGAGGAAGAAAAGCGACTGCTCAAGAGCAGAAGTAAGCCCACACTTTTTAAATGGACGTGCTTACTCTGGACTAGAGTTTTTAGCCTCGGAAAACTTACACACATATTTTATTTATTTTCAAAAGGCAATTTTCTCACAACTTTTATATCAGGTACCATTTTAATTCACTTAGGAGCTCAAGAGAATGTTTTAAATTACATAGCATTTAAAGTACATTTGGTTTTCGTGCCAACTGAAATACTGTTTTCCCCTGTTTAAATGATACAATTAGTTTGAGTTGCATATAATTATACAAGAAAATTTGCTCTTAGAGGTCTTGTAGGGTTCCTTATTTTAGGGCAAACTGAGGGAAAGCAAGTATTGTGATGCAGTACAAGTGTATACTTACTTGAAGGTAGTCCCCCCACTTCACACACACCTGTCATATGTCCCCCAGTAATCCAAAGTCGTTCATCTAGGCTCTCACCTGTAGAGAAATGGGAGTTACCTACTTGTGAGACCTAGATTCTGGGAAGAAATGTTCCCCATGACTGGGTAGCACACTTCATCCATGAACTTCACCAAGGTGTCAAGTCAGCCTTGGGAGCAGTAGCAGCACATGATCTTCATGCGGAATTGATGGCTTTGTCTCACAGAGTTACTTCTCTTGCTTGTTCCTCTTTTCTTGTGATGGTTTTTTCTCTCATGCTTGCGGGAAGTGTGCCTGTCCCAGCAGGTGTGCTCTCTCTCTGTGTTTTCCCTTTGTATCTCTTGCCTGTCATACTTGTTCTATGCCTCTCTCTCCTGAATGTCAGGAAACTCTGGAAGAAGAGTAGGGACTGCTGTGAAATTCTCTAGGGGCAAGTTTAGAAAATTCCAAGGGCCTCTCTAGCAAAAGCAGCCCCTCACCTTTATGGTTCCAGGTCGGCCAGGAGTGCCTGAAGCAGCCCTAAATGATAAGCCTGCATGGAGTTTATCCTCTTCCGAGAGGCCCAGCACAGGTAAGAGCCCGGTTGGTTGGCTGCATCCTGCTCTGCCCTGGACCAGCACATTAAGACCTTTCTCAGTGATCTTGCTTTATTCTTCTGAACTCATACTTTAATTTTGTGATCCATAGGTTTGGGATCTCATGAAGGACAGAGATTCTCATGAGTATGTGTGATTTAGTTTTTTTGGAAAAATAAGTTCCAGTTTAAACCAACTTAATGAAGGAAAGCTCTTAATTTAGTAATTTTTGAGCAAAGAAGTTAGGAAAATATTTACAAAGGACCATTCTCAGTTCTGTTTATCCTAAGCTTCTTAAGATGCCCTGTGCTTCTTTGCTTTTCTGCACATGTGGGAACATTGCCCAGAGTATTGGGATATAAAGGAGGAGAGATATAAAGGAAGACCTTCTGAACTTTTCTCCCATCTGTGAAAGACTCCTCTGAACAGAAAAATCTAATAGTACATAGATGTGAATCAGGGCAAGAATTAGCAAAATCCAAAAGCTGGAAGAGAGCATCTTGTTCAGGCCACTCTGCAGGTAGCTGATTCAACCCAGCAAAGCATTATCGAGTATCTGTTCTGGGTGCTAAGGACATACCAGTGGACAGCAGACAGGGATCCTTGCCTTAAACGATTTGATGTGCTAACGACATGCTGGGGGACAAACAATAAGCAAGCTGTTTGTGGAAGGTGAAAAATGCCATGGGGGAAAACTAGGAGCAGGTAAGGGGCAAAGGGAAGGTGTAATAGAATTGCAGTTTTAAAGAGGAGTCAGGGTAGGCCTCACCAGGAGATGCTGTTTAAACAAAGGCTAAATCAGTAGAGCTGGGGAGAAGGGAGCTATCAGATGGGTAAAGTCCCAGCCTTTCTGTGAGAAACTCAGTGAATTTTGCTGAGTGAGGAAAAGTATGAACACATGGGGCTGGAGCTGAGGCAGATGAGATGAGCTGGAAGGTGGGCCGTGTGCTTGAGGGGTTCACACTTGATGGAGACTGTCTTCTCTGTTAAGCAGGAGGTAAAGTCATCTCAGATTTCGCTTTGGGATTTGGAGTAAGAGGTTTGAGGAAGAGAAAGTTTGAGTAATTAGAGATGGGAGAGTGCCATAGGCCCCAGAGATTAAAAAGGCAAAGTGCTCTGTTGGGATGCCCTGTAATAAAAGTCAAGAGTAACTCTTCATCTTCCCACCATCCTTTTAAACCTCGTTGCTGGGGGTAAATTTATAACTGTATCCTCGGTAGGATTCAAGCACTGTAGCATTAGGAACTTAAAGAATCCTCTGAATTTATAAAATGACCCAGGAATTTCTAGAAAGCAACTGAGTAACCTTGCTGTGGTTCCATTTTTGTGGTGTAGTGGAGAGAAGATGTTCATGCATGTCATGCACATTTACCATGTGCCTACTGTGTGACGGGTGTTGTGCCAGTGCACAGTGATGGCAAAGGCGCTCAGGGATCTCCATGTCTAGAACTGCACCATCGGTACCTGGCCATGAGCTGGTGTTCTTGGAGCACTTGAAACGTGGCTAGTCCAAATCGAGATATGCTGTTTGTGGAGAATATACACCAGATTTTGAAGACTTACTATAAAAGTAGAGTAAAATTACTCATTAATACTTTTCTAAATGGGTTACTTTTTTTTGAATTTTATTTTATTTTTATACAGCAGGTTCTTATTAGTTATCCATTTTATACATATTAGTGTACATATGTCAATCCCAATATCCCAGTTCATCACACCACCACCCCTCCCACCCGCCACGTTCCCCCCTTGGTGTCCATACGTTTGTTCTCTACATCTGTGTCTCAATTTCTGCCCTGCAAAGTGGTTCATCTGCACCACTTTTCTAGGTTCCATATATATTCACTCTGTATGACAGTCTCTAGATCCATCCACGTCTCTACAAATGACTCAATTTCGTTCCTTTTCATGGCTGAGTAATATTCCATCGTATATATGTATCACATCTTCTTTAACCATTCGTCTGTCTATGGGCATTTAGGTTGCTTCTATGTCCTGGCTATTGTAAATAGTGCTGCAATGAACATTGGGATGCATGTGTCCTTTTGAATTATGGTTTTCTCTGGGTATATGCCCAGTAGTGGGAATGCTGGGTCATATGCTAATTCCATTTTTAGTTTTTTAAGGAACCCCTCCATACTGTTCTCCATAGTGGCTGTATCAATTTACATTCCCACCAACAGTGCAAGAGGGTTCCCTTTTCTCCACACCCCTTCCAGCATTTGTTGTTTGTAGATTTTCTGATGATGCCCAATCTAACTGGTGTGAGGTGATACCTCATTGTAGTTTTGATTTGCATTTCTCTAATAATTAGTGATGTTGAT